ATTTGGTTTGCCTTTTTTTTTTTTTTTTGGTTTTTTGTGTGTGTGGCAAATACAAAGAAGTCAGAAGTTCTCTGCATAATACCTAGAAATATGTACAAAAGATTTTTGACAGTATAGGGCTTGGAAAAAAATGCTGTGTAGCAGTGCAGGGCAATAGTAATTAGTACCAACAGGAACATTCCATTTATCACATTGTGTGTCTCTTTAGTCATATCTGTTTTGGGTCTTACAGTGGATGCGACATAAGAAAAAGCTTTACTCATTCTCTTGAAAAATCATCTTGTATTTCTAGAGCAGAAATCGTTGGTTGTACTTTAAAATTTCAGAAAGTTGGATTTGTATATTTTTTTCTCTTAAATAGGCAGCTACCTGATTACAAGCCCATTTTAACAATATACAGTGCTAGAGCAGACAGTGAAAGAAAAGTATCAAATATATAGAGTTAAACATAACCTCAACTACTGAGTCTTTTGTTATCCATGGATGACAGCCCAGTTAATAAATGTTTTCTCGCTGGGATGCTGGACTGGAAGTTAATGGTGAAACACATCTACAACATACTCCAGATGCTCTAGAAAAGCAGACGCACCACAACCATAAAGGCAGTGTCATGCCCAGAATGTACCTATATGGGGATTGCGTTAGTCTAGCTTGGGTTTTCCCCCTTCACTAGCCCAGGTGCAAACACTATGTAAGCAAAGAAATTTGGGCAGGGAGAAGACTGGTTCGTGTTTTGGATATGTTCCTTGAAAATGGTGCTTACTACTGGCAAGGGGTTTATATGCAGAAAGAGGAAGAGGGGAAAGATGAAAGCGGAAAGATTTTGGCAGAGGCTGCAGTTCAGGCGTGCAGAACAGATATCCTAGTCCACATAATCACAAAAGTGTGTCCGCTTGCTAGACTTGCTACGTATCTCTCTCTGGTTAGGTTTCTGTCTTTAAATGTAAATGACACAGTATTGCCTTTAGACTTTGTGAGTCACTAGACCAGAGCCAAAAAGATATCAAATATGAAAAATATGTTTTGTTACATTTGCCATTAAAGGAACAGTCTTAGACTAAGAGAGCCAAAGCCTGAATTGTTTCCATAGTAGTTTTCTCCTCCTTTTCAGCATTTGCCTTCGTTTTGTTAACTGGATCGAGCAAAAAATTAGGGAAAGGGTGGCAGAACTGAACACAAATAATTTCTTTACTTGCTGTCAGTCCCTCCAAAAAGAGCCTTCACAGAGAAATACAGGAAAATCCACCATTCTCCATTCCTGCACCAGAAAAATTCCTAAAATATACGACCTTGCGATGGTTAAAAGATAGCCAAGAGCCAAAGCTGGGCAATGTTTTTATCCCAGTTCAGCCATGTCATGGGTCATGTGGTTCAGCATGTGAACAGGAAGGTGAGAATGGGTGAACTTTTGCCTCAGTTGTGCAGTCCATCAGAGAATAAATGGAGCAAATCACTCTGCAGCTGTATCGGGAGGTGAACGGCTGAATACCTCTCACACAGAGGCCTTTGTGTTCTGGACATGATCTAGCATTATGATGGGACGCACTAGGCTGAGGCTTTGTAGCAATTACTAACCCATTATCACGCTAGAACATGAGATCATTTATCTTCTAATTCAGAGTGTCACCTGTTCTTCATTTGCCAGTCAATAACCATTAATTACTTTCAGTGGAAATTTAAACAAAGCTTTTCCCCTCTGTTAAAACCAGTAAGCCATTCAGTAACGACAAATAAACCTGGAGCTGTATCTCCCCCTTTCCTCTCATGCTCGGCCCGCAGCCTGGTACAATATGAACTCTTAAAGGAAATGCCTAGAAATTGATAGGTCAGGGGCCTTTACTAGTCCGATGTGGGGGGAAGCACATTCCTGGCACTTGCTGTAGGGCAAGCATATAGCTACTGCTTGTGCCCTGATTTCTCATTGGTTGTCACGGGCTGTACCTGTGGAAATAAAGATTCGAATGTGGAGCTTGTTCAAAGATTTTTCTATCTTCTGGCTTGCCTTTGTGGTTTTTTATGGACTGCTCATGCAGACCCATTCAAAGCAACAGCGCTCGGTCGCCTTCCTCAAAGCAAAACAGAACTATCGCTTACTTTGTTTGTAATTTTTAGCATGTTCATTTTTTTCATACCTGATTTGATTGAGGTAATTGTAAGTGCCAACAATTGTGAATGCCAGAAAAAATAAAAGAACCAGCAGTGATAGATTCTCAAGTAATCATTAATCTAAACATTCTTTCCTGGTAGGAGTTGAGGCAAAAATTGCTTTTAGCAACTCTATCTGCATTGTTTGATCATGGCTAAGTTGATCCTGGAGAAATTTACTGCAGTTTAAGTTGTATTTCTAAGACAGTGATTGCTTGCTCTTTGAAATGGTAGACAAGAGCTGATCCATCCAAATACATAAAACTTGGTGGGACCAATTGTTGAAGGCTGGGGTTTTTTTAGTATTTGGTAGCTGTCTCCTTCAACATAGCGCATGATTTAGAGTAAGAAGAAACTTCTAATGCTATTTTATATTAATACACAAAAATAACGTGTAAATATTTTAAGCACCCGCTGGGTTGTTGAATGTCTCAAGCACCCGCGCTAAAATTGTGTTCAATGAATTACAATGCTGAGGCCTTGAAAAGTAGAGAGATGGCAAAAAATTATCATAAGTCTGATCCTGCTTCTACTTAGACATATTAATACTACTTTACAGAAGTGCATAGTAAATAGCAGGTCCTTAAGCTAATACTGCATATGCGGTCAACCTACTGAATTTGGGAGTGGGGGTGATTTTCACCAACAAATGAGGTTTGGTTGTTGCATCTCTGTCAGATGTAACTGACACTACAGTGCTGTGTACGTTTCAAAGAAAGGCGAGACTGTGAATTTATTATGTACACCAAACATCCACTAAAGTCAGGAGGAGAACAGCTATAAATTCTGACTCTGACTGACTGTGTAATCTTGGAAATCCTTGTTCACTCAAATAGTGCCTTCTCATATGAGGAAGCTTGTTGTTTTCAGCTGGGCTGCTTAATGAAAGCTGAAGGTCTGGGAAATCACAGACTAGGCTAGGAGAACCAGAGCTATCAATTATTTATTTTAGATATTCCTTTTACCTTTCTGTGAAGCTGCTACTACTGTGAATCTTGCAAGCTTGTCCAGTCATGAAGAAACAGGAGTTGGTGATTTACGGTGACCTCTCAAATCAGCAGGGAAACCCCAGTGTTCCGAGAAAGCTCATATGAGAGATACGAGTTAAGACATCTCCTCCCCGCAAGAGGAGTTTCATCAGCCAGTCGGGTATTTCTGCGTCATTGGCTAGGATGTTCAACCCTGGAAAGGAAAAATAAAGTTGCTGCCATTGTCCTGCCCAGCAGGTCATATCCCTAAAGCACAATTAATGTCAAGGACTTACACAGCAGTTGCCCAAAACCCAGCCTTCCACACACGTTCAAGAAGCAAAAAGGTTCAAAAGGAACATGTTAATAAAATCTTGTCAAAACTTTGGAAGATGCATAAAATAATAACTGGGAAGAAAAATGACTTGCAAATAGAACCATTTAAGTGGAATGTATCGCCTTGCTATGCTGGACACTGATTTATTAAGAATAGGGGGGGAAATATTGAATATTTCAGGTGGTATTTACCAAGAGAAACTGAGCTGTCCCAAAGCTTTTATTAATCTGATTTGCAGAGTATCCACTACCATCAAGGGACCTACTAAAGTTGTTTTCTTTAAAGCTGATGTGAAGAGGTCAATGCAAATAGCATTGTGGATTATGCTGTGAGAAGATGACAGTCCTTTTTACCATATGGAGAGAAAGTTGAATTATTTTGTTTTTCTTTTCTGGTTATTTATTAAATGAGGATCATGCCATACAGGTATTCCCTTTTCCTCTCCAAAGGAAATGAAGTGTTTACATCATTTTGATTGATCTAAAGTAATAATTATTCTGTCCACCTAGAGCTGCTAGGCTGTCAAATAGTCCAGTTGCTAGAGCGGTGGCTTGCATATCAGAAAACTGACATGTACCTGCCGCGATAGCTCACACAAGTCACACGTGTTGTTGCGTGCCTCTTTTTCCATCTGCTTTCTCGCTTTCATGCTGACTTAGTGGGCCAGCCCTCAGAGATGGTGCTCATCCATCATTACTTGTTTGTGGGAGGGGACTCTGTGAAAGACATTGCTGTGGGAAGTAAACCTGCTCCCCTGAAATGCAAATATGTTGACAATCCCATGAAGGTTTGCTTCAAAACCTATTACGATTTTTGCCACTGCACAGGCAGTTCTCTGAGATGGTAATGTTGTCTCACTTTTCCAGCAGTGTTTTCTGTGTTCCCGTGTCAAAAGAAAAAGTTTTTGCTGTGGTGCTTTAATATGTAACATCCAGCATATGTTCAGCACGAAAAACAGATTAATTTGGTCAAATACACTGTTGACTATTCTTCGTTACCTTTTTAGTTACTCGCTCGTAATTAAAATCTCAACTTAGCCAAAACAAACGTGACAGAAGAAAAAGCCAAAAGGACCCATAGTTTTGTGATTCAACGTGTTTGACATCATTCTGTAACAGCCAGACAACAGCGCTCTGGACTGAAACTTCACAAAATTTTGTTCTTTTCCTTATATCTGTGTCAGTTCATGCAGTGCTTTAAACAAGTGAATCCACGCTCTTGAGCACTAAACCAAGTCTCAGTGTTCAAAAGTAAACATATTAAAGTCTCCCCTGCAGCAACCCCTGCTGTGAAACAAATTGAAAATCAAATACAGCATTGTTTCCTATAATAAGAAATAACTGAACTCTTTTCAGAGTTGCACTGAACTGGTTAATAGCCAACATGTTAGGAAAGTGCTAATTTCCCCAGCTTGGGGTATATCTGTGTGTGAATTGTATATGCGTGTGTGTGTATACTTATTTCCAAATCAAAAATGCAGTAATATAGTGTCGTGGACCAAAGAGGCTACTTACATGTGCACCGAATCTGACTTCGCTTGTCTTTTGCAGGCCATGTGGCTGATGTTGCAAACTGATGAGCCCGAGGACTTTGTCATAGCCACTGGGGAGGTCCACAGTGTCCGTGAATTTGTGGAGAAGTCATTTAAGCACATTGGGAAAACCATTGTGTAAGTATGGACATGAGATAGCAGCCACAGGTTGAATGTTTGCGTCTGCTGTGTTACAGAGTATTGTTTCTCCACATTCTTCTTTTTTCCCCCCTCACTTTCTAGTTTTGTAACATGTGAGACCTTCCGGGCATGAATGACTGCCACAGCAGATACGTCAAGTGTTGCCCTCTAGATCATAAAAAAAAGAAGTATACCTTATTTTTTTATTCCGAGTCTTCATTCTCTGTTCTCCCATTCACTCCACAGCTTGGGGGACAGCTGCCCCTCCAAAGATGTTAGTACCAGGGTGCTTTTGCAGCAGTACCCTGCAAAAGCAGTACCCTGCTGCAAAAGGGGTTTTTCTGCCCAATTCTCTCTTTTGTGAGCCCAGATCCCCACAGTCCTGCTCCCATTCTCTGTGATCTCAAGAGATCACACCTGCCAACGCTGTTCTTTCCACGTGACAGCCCATCAGCCACACCACTGGGATTATGTAGCAACCCACTCTATGTTCCTATTAGCTCTTGTCCTACTAAGCCATAAAAATGTTGAGCAGTGGGTGCAGAATGTTTACAATGCATATTCCACATAGTTTGATTGAAAATACAAAATTCCTTCTCAAGGCCATATAATAAAACCAGGATGGCTTGGTGAGCACTTTCTGTAATTTATATTTTTATTGTTTATTATTTTTTCAATTTCCCTCCTTCTGTATCTTCTCTGGGCCCCATGCATCAACATACCGATCTCAGCTGGAAAAGGGAGAGGAAAGCCACAGGCTCTTCCATGACGCTAGCGCCAGGGCTGTTCCTCAGGCCATCAAAGTCACTTGTGCAGCTGGTGAACTTTTGACAGGGCCAATAAGTTTTACTTGGGAACAAAAACTTGACAAATTCAATAAATATGCAGAAGTGCACAGATATATACAATATTATTTGAACAGCCAGTGGGTGGCTGGGGAGGTAATAACATTTTCTCCTCAATGAGTTTTTAGTCTGGTTTCAATTTTTGGCATCAACTTCCAGGAAAAATTCTGATGGGGGAGAGAGAGAGAGAGGCTGTATAAAGAGAACTTCTAGCCCAAAAGCTCAGTTTTGGGAATAAGTTTATCTCCATATTTTTAGCATTTCTTGATAGTGAGATGTCCCTGTGTGATTGTACATTGTCCCATACGCCTTAACAGTAGTGAAGTTTGAAAGGGTAAAGGGGAGGTAGTACAAGCTCTTATAATTGCTTTGTCTTTCTTATTTTTTCTCCTTTTTCTATATCTTTGTTTCTTGTGTTCATAAGCTAATTCTCCCTTTGACACGAATATGCTGTGCATTCAGTTGCTCCATGTAAGAATTCTTGTGATTTTGAAAACTATTTTGTCCCTGTCTAGTATTGTTTGCAAAAGCAAAAATAAATGTTTAGTGAACAACTTTGGGGTTTTTTAATTTTCATTACTTAAAATTAGAAACTGAGACGTGTAAGTCAGTACCTAGCTGAATGTCTTTATTTGCAGATGTTCTCAACATCGCAGTTTCTTTTGATGTCAATAAATTTATCCTTTAGTCTAAAATTAAACTCCCTGCTTTGGTGTTGGCCTAAGAAGTCTCAGCATTTCACAAGACTGATAAATCAGGATGTATTTTTCAGAAAGCAAATTAAACCCTCAAGAAAAGCTACAGAAAAGAACAACAATTACACAAATAAAAGGGAAAGTACTTTTAAGAATAGCTTCTGTTATAGAGAGGATATTAAAGGCTTACTTTAGATTTAGTTGGTCCTAACATACAAAATTTCATGTCCCATTTGTTTAATTTTTTGCTTACATATGGCTCCATATGGTGGACTGCATATCATTCATGTTGGTGATTACTGCAGTCAGTGTTTGGATTGAATCAGTCAGTCACAGGTTTCTCTCTCAGGGAAACTTTACAGTATGACTCTAAGTGATGAGGTAGGGCAGGTATTTTGTGTGTACAAAGGCATAGTTGCATTTTTTTAACTAATTAATAAAAGCAATTTTCAAAAATTGTGTAAGAATGCGCATGACATCTAGTGACATGGATTTTTAGGAACCTAAATCTCTTTAGAAAGGGGGCTTGGGCTGCTAATCCCCGTGGCTCTTCTGAAATTTTTCTTCACTGTGAACAAGTTATTAATTCCTTAAGCCATTTACAGGTGATATATAAATAGCTATACATATGGGGACATTTTAGGTGCTAATGATAATTTTGTTTCTGATCATTTTAGGTATAGTCTAGCCAGATAAACCAACCGTTTGTTCCTCTGGTCCCAGGGTGAGGGTAGTGTCACAACAGACACACTACTCATCCCCTAGCCATCATTCGTCTTTCAAATTGTGCTAGATGTAAAATATTTCTCAGGATTTTGAAAGTTTTGTTAGGAACCACCATAATTTTTCTAGGTGTCAGCCCGGCCCATGCTTTTGCAGCACACACACGCTCTCTCCGTACCCTCGCTGGCTTCTCAGCCAGCCGGCTGGTAACCTCCCACATTCTTTGTAACCCCCAAGGGCTCTCTGCTCCCACCTCCTCCAGTTTGAGTATATCTTCTTCAGGGAGTAGCCTGGCAGCAAAATCCTCCCTTTTAGCATTGTGGGACCCCGCTGGTGAGTCTCATTGATCTGCTTCTTTACAATTTATGAGGCACCTAAGAACCAGCGCACCAGAGTGCAATTGCTAAATGAGTTCCTGTGAGGATGGCTGCTATCTTCCTGTCTCCCTTCCTCAAAGTTTGGCTGAGTTGTTTCGTTGTTTGGCTTTTTTTTTTTTTTTTTTTTGGAGGGTTGCAAGTATTATGAAATTTTGCAATCTCAAAACCTTATGTGGGAAATTTCCAGCAGTCCGTTCCATTGCTGTAAGTGATGGCACAGCTTCCCAGTATTGCTGTACAATGCGCCTTTCAAAATTGATGGAATGATGGAGTAAATGGCCAGGAGGGATGTCGTGGCAAGCAGCAGTTGGCAGAGCTCATTGCACATCTAACACAGGGCACATGTGCAGGCACTCTTAACCATCTCTACTTTGTGCTTTGGCAGGGAAAGTTGCAAATGTAACAAAGTCTTAGCTGTCACATCATGATATTGCAGAAGAGAACAGGAAGAAAAGCAATCCTGGCTGCCCCACCAACCAACCAAATATATATTTAATTTTTTTTTCTTTTTTTAGTTTTTTGTCTTCCTAACAATTCACATTACCTTATACAGCTGAAAATCCAGGACAGCCTAAAGAAGTCTTTCCAAGAAGATAACATAATTCTCTGTCATAGCCAGTCATTCGCACATGTCAGGACTATGTCTTCTAGCCAAACTAAGAGAGAGAGAAACTTCACTACATTTTTGTAACTAATGAAATGTACAGCTGCAATAAGACTGATTCGCTCTCTGACATTGACTGTAAAGTGTACACAGAGGTTTATCTGCCTTGTGTGGTTTTTTTCTTCTAACGTTTCTTTTTCAAGGGAGAAATTTCAAATTATATTTATATAGTCCTCTGAATCATTCAAATTCAGTCCTTTGTACTAACAGGAAAGCCTCAGAGCTACAAATATTTTCCCCCTGTAAGGATTACACTTTTTTTCTTTTACTTTCCCTTCTACTTATTACTAATTAAGTAGTACTTGGGGGAAACACTTCCCACCTATAATTTGAACTACAGCAGGGTAAACGAAACAGGCAAACGCTTGTCTTGACTAATTTTCTGTCATTAATCTTATTAAATTAGAACAGGATTGCAAAGATAGCCTGAAACCACTACAGCACTCAGAGTTCTTTGCAGAGTGCTGCAAAGACTGCTGTCTGCAAACATGGAAAGAAAAAAATGAAAAGAAAAAAAAAAAAACCAACAAAAAAAATTTCAAGCAGTGGAAAGATTTATTGTGGATTTTATTAATATAAAAATACACACACATTTGTTACAGAAGTATTCATTGCTTCCAGGATCAGAATTAATTCACTAAAAACGAATATTTCACTCTAGTCACTTGGCTCTACAGACAAATTTTATCTTAACTAACATGCCAGTTGGTCTTATAAAAGATCACCCTAAAAAGGGGAAGTTTACAGATAAGTTATAAGGTCTAATGAGGTGAACTACTAGCAGAAGTGGAGCAGTGGCCTCTTCAGTGACAGTGAAGGTTGAACTGAGATTGAACTGAGGGAGGAGGCTTTTTCTGGTTTGGTTTTTTTTTTCTTTTTACCTTAAAATGGGAGGTTGGGTTACAGAAACACATGAGATTTGAAGGACTGCTGTAAGAATGGAAAGCCAACAATATGTTAGTAATGGCACTGTGGGCATGTGGAAGAGGAGCCATTAGAAGTCATCATCAAAACCAGCCGCTGTTTTGGTTTTTTTGCCCACCAAAAATTGCTGGCTGGGCAGTGCTTCGTGTTGTATTTAACAGCTCAGGAAAATCAGAAGTTTTCAGATGAGGAGGAAGGGAACAGAATCTCATACAGAAATTGGAGGCATTTTGAAGAGCAATAGTTGAAAGGAACCCAGCCAGGTCGGTGAAGGATGCTGGCCGGGGTGAGCCCACGTGAGCAAGGGTCCTCCCTAGGACCAGCATTTTGTGAAAAGCCTACATTAGGCCTAGGATCCACTTTTATCACCATTCTCACCGTAAAGTATATGTTTTAGGGGGGCATTTAACCCACCTCAGCTGGAGAATTAACTCTTCCAGCTGAGCAGACTTTTATTACTTTCTTATTAATACAAGGTTTTATCTGTGGGCACACCTAATAACTGTTTCAGAACTCAAATTAAGGTTTGAAGACTGTAACAATTTAATTATCTGATTTCATACATCAGAAGAGGTATGAGAGTTTCTCCTATAGGAAGACTGGGTGAGAATTAAATGTGGTGTTTCATGGGAAGTTACACATTCACACACACACACACACACACAATGACATGAAATTGATTCTCACAAATACAATTTGGAAAAATATCTGATTTCAGATCAGCTGGACTGCTTTGTTTCTCTTCTAACCTCCTTTTAAAGAAACAATAACCTAAAAAGAATTTTTAAAACCATTCTGAAAGAAAACCCCAAATTTTTCCATTCTGAAAATGTCAAAACATCCTTTTTAGATATTATTAATATAATTTTGTTCCAGGTTGACAGTAATGGAGCTCACTTGAAACTAAAACTTTTCTTTCCAAAATGTTTTGATTTTTGCAGAAGCATTAATATTCTTTGAGAAAACATTTTTCTCTCAACACCAGATTTCACAATTTGGAGTAAAGGGATAAGAGCCACAAAAGATTTCCAATAAACTGGAAAAAAAAAATGAAACCAAAAGATAAGGAGCCTAGCACGTGTTCTTTTTTAATGTCTTGTAATGTGGGGAGTCACCATTTAGATTTTTGAAACTTGAGCTTGACAATGCTGGGAATATAATAACAATAGCATTGTTTTAACTGTGTTCCTTTAGTGAACAAAGACTGATGACCTGATTCATCAGAGCATTTGAAAAAAATTTTTAATACATTCCTCTATGGTAGCGTAGTTGTTCTTTAGATTTAAGTACAAGATTGTGGTTAAGCAATCTATACATCCTTGATTGCTTTGATGCATCAGATCTGCTGGTGAGGTTGGTGGTTGATTTAATGGCAAAGGAACATATGAAGAGTCATACTGAAAGGCTCCCTACAAAAGATTACTTGCAAAAGACATTATAATGGTTTGTCACATTATGTCAGTTTTACTGTTTATAAAGTGACAGGACAGAATAAAGTGCTTTGGCTCAATTCTGTGTTTAACAGTAATCAGGCCACAAATCTGAGAAGTCTTCACAAACGGTATCTCGTAATAGCTGTGGAGGAAGAGCAAAATTTTCCCAAAATTTTATTTTTAATTAATTTATTGTTCATTTTCAAATGTGAAAATATTTTCTATTGGCATAGATTTGATTTAAAAGGTGTACATTATAGTTTTATTTTCCATAAATATTTATAAATAAATTTATAATAATAATATTTATAAATAAATTTCTTTTCCACCAGCTGTAGCTGCCACTGGCTTTGAATATTTTTTAAAATGCTATCAGTTCTGTTTCTATGTAAAGATGAAATGCGTGTACTTCAGTTTATCTGTGCTTTTGTGAAAGGTTTCATTTTTAGTCGATTTCTTCACCATCTCAAAAATATATATACTTTGCCTTGTTTGCTTCTCAGTTATAGCCATTTGGACCATTTGGTCCATTGCAGTGCTATTCCCGCCCTCCTTGATTGTCCTGGCTTCCCTGTGTCCTTCCCTGCCCACCTCACACCCCACTGGGTGGGTACCCCAGCTCTTCGTCCTCAGAAAATCCTCTATACCTTTGGATGTCTTTATAGCTTGCAGTCTTATGGAATAGTTATAGGAAATGAAAAATAATTGGAATCTTCAGAGTTAAAGAGGAAAAGGAGCAATCATCGCCACTGATAATAAGTTTTATCTGCAGATATGGAATTAGCCTTAAAGACAGTCTATTCCTCTGTAAATCCAGAATGTAAAAGCTCTTGAGGTGAAGAACCTTTTAAACAAGTAAACTTGCACATGCATTTGAAATGTGATGAACTTAGTTTTATGGAAATTTCTGAGGTCAGTGATAGTAGTGGTATCCACCATGGCTGCCAATGACTATCATCCTAAGCGATCCCAAAGCACCCATCTCCAACAGTGAGGCATTCTACATGGAAGTGTAGATGCAGAGGGCATCAAACCCGCTTTGTCAGTAGCAGACACGTGGTCTCGTGTGTCCTTCTCTGGGTGCAGAGCGTTCTGGCGTGTGGCTGATGCCATCACACACGAGAGCAAACCCATCCTTTGCTTCAGTGAGAGGGTGAAGCCCCCCAGTGTGGGGCAGGCAATGGTCTTTCTCTAGAGGCTCATTGCCTGCAGGCTCTAGGACCAGTGTTTTGTGAAAAGCGTAGACTAGGCCAGCAGGCGCCTGCCTGGGAGCCCTGGGCTTTGACATCAGCTGGGGGTTGGGGGGATCCGCTGCCTATCCTCTGTAAATTTAGCCCAGCCCTGATTAGCCAAACTTTCTTTAGCCAGGGATCCTTTGCGTTTCTTCCAAGTTACACAAGGCTGTTTTCTTGCCTACTTGGGCATCCTCCCTAAGGAGTGGAAAGCTGGGTAGTCCTTGCGACTGGAGCTATCTAAAACCACAGCAACATGAGGGTTCCCCATCCCTCTTCCGCCGTGCTCGTGCTTCAGGATAATCTGGCATTACGTTTTCCAGTTAACAACTCTGACTCCAATTTGACTGTAAATTAAGGAGGGGGTTGGTGGTTGGTTTTTTTTTTCCCCTTTCCTTGTGGTTAGAGGAAGAGGGGAGGGAGAGTTGGTTAGCAAAATAGATGTCTTGCTCCTGGTGTCAGGCTGGCCCCCGCGCAATCCCTTTTATCAACAGTATGGTGTCCCCAGCTGTGAGCACCGAGGTGCCAGGAGTAATTAGAAGTGCGGCTGTCAAATGCTACTTTGTTCACAATGAGAAGTACTTTTTTTTCCTTGTGAACTTTTCACATTACTGGGCTGAACAAAACGGGTGGAGATTTCTTCTTAAGCTATTTCTATTGTTATATAACTTTGATAGTGACATTAAGTGAGTCTTTACTGGCTCGACCGAGCCTTCTGGAGCCTGTTGGGTGTTAAATGGAGTTCTCTGCTCAGTGACCTCCAACAACAACTGACGTCTCCTGATCTAAGCGCTTCCTGTTGTTTTACTGGTGACGGTTAGTTTTCTATTAAGCTCATTTGAGTCCTGCACATTTTTACCCTCTGCCCTTTAAAGGGAGGGACTAATGTTAGTTTTGGCTTCTGAATGAAAACTTTGCAGTTCAGGCTTCAAACAGAGCAACGGTGAAAAAGAAAGAAAGAAAGAAAATTTAAATTATAAATCATCTTTAGCATCATGGCATGACTATTAACAGCTGACTTCACTGTGGCTATTATCTCTTGGAAAGTATTTCAACGTGAGATGTTCCCAGTATCAAGCATCCTACAGGCTTTGCTAGTCATCCAAAAGTCATGAGTTGTGCTTAAAAAATTGTGGGATTTAAAAACTAGTAATAATGCATATTTGGTATTTCCTTCTGCCTTTCGGTGTTTTAACCTTCATGGGTACACAGAGGTCACGTTTTCAGACCTTCCTCCTTAGCCCTTAGGGCTAGAAACTCAAAAATGAAGGCTGAGATTGTCAAATAATTAAATTCTTCTAGGAGCTTCAGGGGGGCAGGGCAGCAAGGAGAAATCAAATCTGTGACAAAATCCCAAGAACTGGCAGTACAGTTAGTAAGCGGGAGGCAAGGGGAGCTTGTCTATCCTTGCTGGTGACTGAGGCTAAATAGTCTAAATCACAGTGCTGATTTAAATCACATAGATTTTACTTAGACAGAAAAAAGTGACGGATTTTATCTGTTATGCCAAGCTGGTTCGGAGGCCCACAATATACACTTAGAGGCAAAAAGCAAAGAGAGGATAGTGTTTCAATCGTAACTCTGGATTCTGTACGTTCAGTGGATTAGTTTTGATGCACCAATGTATGTTCCTACATGTGTTATCTGAACATTTGTTTTGAAGAGGGAGCGTTGTCCTCATTTCCAGGCTGCAGCCTGGCCTCTCCAAAGGCAGAGCTAGTCACCCACCAAACCGTTCCTCTTCTGCTGCTCCTGAAATTTTAGACCAGGACAGTTGCTAACAAAATAGTTCACGGCGCAACCAGATCATATGAATTACAGCAAATTGCGGGCTGTTCAACACATGTGAAACTAATCTGGACGAAGTAGCTGGCTTTCAGCTCACAGGTAGTAAGTACTGTTTACAGTACACGTATGTGAAGTGCCATGTCGAGCTAGGACTGAAAACTCAAGAACTGTCTTTGTTTTGTTTTTCCTAGTTAGGCACAAATTAAATTATGCAGCTTAATGCTATTCAAACAGAGCTTCACATCCATAAAATTAATAGATTAAAGAGTTCCTGAAAGTATTGGCCAAAATACAAGAATTAAAAATATTTTAAGAAAACAACTTTGAACCAATCCACAAATGAAAAACCTCACTGTCGTATTTATTTGCAGATATATGAGACATTCTGAAATCAGGACATTTTATTTTCCACTAGCATTATGTGTTTAATTTGGAAGTCCTGTATTTTAGACCTTCCACTGAATCAAAAACCAAAACAAAGAGACTTCAAAAGCCATTGTTGCTCCATTCAAGTCTAAACTCTGCCTTTGTTCCTATAGCTAATGAGTTTATACTGTCCTGCAGGGAGAATTGACACCAGCCTCAAGTAAATGAAAGCAGGCCAAATGTTGGTAAGATCAGAGCACTAAAGTAATTATGGGCTGATTAAATGTTTATCTTCTTTACAGGTGGGAAGGGAAGAATGAAAATGAAGTAGGACGATGCAAAGAGACTGGCAAGATTCATGTGACAGTCAATCACAAGTACTACAGGCCAACTGAAGTGGTAAGAAAATGCCCTCTCTTAGCTTTGCAAATGAATAATCCAATCACTGAGCCAATAAATTGCTGCATTTGGCCAGCAGTCTGTGAAAACGGCTTAATTGCGCTCCTGCTGCCAGCTTTTAGAGCTCTAAATTAGCCTGCTTGTTGGCCCCTTCACAGCCAGCTACCTGGGAACAGGCAGGCAGGCAGGCAGGCAGGCAGGCAGGCAGGGAGCTCTGCCCTGGAGGAGCAGGTTTGCCCTGTCACAGAGACACTGCTCTGCTTCGGTCACCTGCTCTGAATGGGAGAGGTGATGCCTAGGGGCATGAAACATCACCTTACGGGGGAAAAAACCAAAGTGCAAAACAACTTCTTGTTCCTTCTGGTCTCAAACGGGTATGTGGTCACCTCTCCAGCTGCAAGAAGGGAGTGCAGAGCAAGGTGGGCACTAATAGACTTGATTTTTAAGTACCTCCTTCTGTGTCTTTGTGACAGTGTTTCAACTCCATCCAGTGAGCATCCCCTATTCAGCTTAGGTCTTTGAATCTGTGGGTACCGCAAAATGCCTGTTTTAGAAGTGCACATGTGCTTTGTTTTCTCGGGTGCTTTGCAGGGTCCCACTCAGTAAATGTTCATTTGCAGAACATGTCTTTACTGCCAGGAATGCATC